TTTTTGTTTCTTTGATTAAAAGCATATTTGGCATGTAAGAACTTGTTATTTTGAATAATTAATGCAGTAAAATGTTTGTCTTGAAGAAATCCATTCGTTTTCACTCGCAAAATGTTTTTCATAATTTATAATGCCAGCTTTATCCAATTTTCTTTTCACTTTGGTGAATAATTGGAGGGAGGATGATGAAGTAAAAGCAGGATCTTTCATTGTATGCTTTTGAATAAAAAACCCTACTGATGATGTGAGGCATTTTTTTTCAAACTCCCCAAACGCCCAAGATATTTAAACTTCCCTAAAATAGATAAAGAATCTGTCTTTCCCAAATCAAAACCTCGTTTTAACCTGGGGCAGAGTATCATTAAAAATAAGCATCTTTCAAAATCAAGTGGGCACAAATATACTCTAATCATTTAACCTTTTGTTTTACGCATCAGAAACTAAACCCAGATACAGCCCTCAAAGTCCTAATTGAAGTATGGTTTAGTTCGAAAGCATACTCGATGAGATATCGTTTCCTGACTCCTATGAGCTATTCTCAAATTTAGTACCGGCCTTATAAATAAATCTAATTCATATCCTAACTAGTGATTTCAGTCATTAATTATTGCGATACCTTTTTCAAAAATTTCTTCAAGACAAACATATATGTTGTATTAACAGTTTCAGAATTAACAGTTTCTAACCTGCTAATTTTGCTCAATATCTCAGAAAATTTACATATAGACATTGATGATGAAATTTGAGGACTTTGCTGACTTGGGGCAAGTCATTTTCCAAGAGATCTGATCCGCACAAGTTTGGATTCACCTATAACACAGGTTTGAAGACTCAGTTACACCGTCAATCAGGGGCAGTTACGTCGAGATTCGGCGAATCTCTCCAAGAGTTTGAAAGCAGTGGGGCATTTGGACGCCATGTTTTCTGTAAAATCCTCTCGAGATGACTTTTTCTCATGAACCGTATGGCCTGGGGCACTTGAGAGTCGAAGAGGGTTGTGACAATTTTGTAACAAATATTTTCAACGCAGGAAAACTCTTGTTGGTGACTTGAGAATCCCCAGTGAACTGATTAGCTTTACCTCTCCAGCGATGCAGATGTTCATTTCATCTCCACTGAAGTTTCGACTCCAACATATTTAACAACTTTGTTAAACTCTGGTTTCCCCATTGAATGGATATTTATTTTACCCATGAAGTTTCCGCAATTTTGAGATGGATTCATTTCCAGCAGATCTTCATTCTCATCTTCAACAGGATAACTGATTTTCATCTTGACAATCCTCCAAGTAAAATCAAGATGTTGTATCCCCAAGTGGGACGCTTTATTTTCCCCAAATGAAAGTTTTTGAGGCCCCGAAGCAGGAGTGTGATCCCATATCTAGTTCTCCACCTATCCTCAGCGGTACTTCTATCTTCAAAGATTTAGCTGGATGCTCGTTCCGAGATGTTTATTTCATCTCCGGTTGCTTCTTTTTGTTTGTTTTGTCAGCATAAACATACGCACAACATATAGATAGATAGCATAGCATTTGCATTTCTGCATCTTTGTGTTTGTTTGTTCTGTCACCTTGGCCGTGTTTATCCCCAAGTGACTGGGTGTGTTCTCTCTTTCCAAGTAGAGTTATCAGCCCTAGGCAGAAAGAGCTCAATATTTCTATTTCCCCATGGAGTTTGATCCTCATGGAAGATGGTTATTTTAGTACATTCTCATCTGAGTTCATGCCTCAATGGTCGTGTCTTGCTTGACAGTTTCTCTTCAGTTATTTCCTAAATTGAACTTCGGTCCTTGGCAATCACATTGTGGACATCTCCAACTTTTTGAATATGGATAGAGCGTGCATTTATTTTGCACTTTACTCCTAAGAAAGAATTTATGAAGATAATTATTGAAGGCAGGCATTTCTCCGACAACATTCTAAACAATTTACATCTGTACTGCAAGCACTCTCTTTATTTGAGCAACTCGTTTTGATCAAGATTTTGTTCAAAACGACAAGTGACAGTCTCTTCAAGACAATCTGTCTGTCCCTAGTGGATTTATCAAGATTATCAATTCATCAAAAGGCATTCCTATGGAAATCCGTCAGAGAAATGCGTCGAAGACATTACAAATATTTCTCTTTATCTGAGAATTCACACTACAAAGTATACATACTTTTACAGCTACAACAAGGGTACTCCCCAGGAATGTATTCCCCAGTGAGTCCTTTACACAAGTTTATCTCCATCAAATGGCATCTCTCCCGAGAAGTTGGTGAAGTCTATTACATTCGATCTCTCTTTTATTTGAGAAAACATATTTACAAATCAACCGGCTTACATCTCTTCCGAAGATCCCCGGTGAAGTTTCACAATCTCCGATACATTATGGCTCACAGCCAAGAAATTTTACAATCTACAAGGTTCTACAATGACATCTACAAATCTACAAAATTTTAAATCCCCTGTGAAGATGCTCTCCCGAGTTTTCATCATTTTGGGCAAGAACTGAGACCCGTTCATGGCAAACACACCATGAGTCGTTGGGGAGGTTTATTTCAAGAGAACTGAGACCCGTTCATGGCAAACACACCATGAGTCATTGGGGGGTTTATTTCAAGAGAACTGAGACCCGTTCATGCCAAACACACCATGAGTCGTTGGGGAGGTTTATTTCAAGAGAACTGAGACCCGTTCATGGCAAACACACCATAAGTCGCTGGGGAGGTTTATTTCAAGAAAACCGAGACTCGTTCATGGCAAACACACCATGAAGCGTGGGGAAGTTGTGCTTACACTATTATCAACACCACACTCAATTAAGAAACAGAATTCTGTTTCGATCAAGAAGGTTCATTTGGTTATTACCATTGTTTGGATTACTACCTGTTGGTAGCAGGTTATTCTTCAATTTCAAGATTCTCGCTCATTATTCAGGTCATCGTTTTGCTTGATATTGCGTATTATATCGTTATTTTTGGAGATTCCCCAATGCTGGTTGTCACTTCTCTCCCGTGGAGTCTCACTTTGTTGAGCCTGTGGTCTTCGTGTGTCGTGTCCAGTCTCTTTCCTGTGGCATCATTATCTCCACAAAACCCTTTGTTTGGCACCTCATAGCATTGCACATCATATGTATTTGGTGGCATCTTAGGGCCAAAAATTCATGCAGTGTTTATATTTAAGTCCCTCATATCTCGTCGAGACGAATATTTCAATCTCCACACCTCTGGATAGAAGTAACTTAAATAGGGGCATCTGTCGCACCCTAATTTTTTACCTCAAGATTCCACCTCTTTGTGCACTTTTTCTTGTGTATTATCTCCTCACTTTTTCGTGCATATTTTATCATAACTAACCAGTTTGTGCAGGAGCAGCAATGTCAAGGTATAAATTCTTACAACCAAGCATCACAGGGACGTGACTAATACGTTCGAGTTCAAAATTCACCATTCTATAAGGCTAGACGCATATCCGGTCTTCTAATAACGGTTCGTTCTTAGACGTAATTTTTCCACGGCCGCTTCCGCAATAGTAAACAAATATTTTGAACAACCAATTTTAAATTGGTAGCGCCGACTGACTTTAATTGGGATCTATTCAACCCCCCTTCTAGATCCAAGCCATCGTCTAACAGTAACAACAAAGCTAAGAGAATCTAAGGTTCGGGAGTTGGTTATACCTAGGGAAGGTGCTAGCATCCTAAGTATATCTAGTCAAGGCTATCCTAAACATGACATAAAGTCAACAAGAGTGATCCTTTCCTTTGGAATTTAGATTAAGCAGAGATTTAGATGCAAAAAGAAAGGATAATATATGGGAGACTGAATCCTAAATGTTGTCAAACGATGATGGTCCTAAAGTCGAGATTGAAGGGGAAATCTATCCTAATATTGGTGTGCAAAAGATCAAGAACCTAAAATATATCCTACTTCGATCTTAATCTAAAATTAAAGTCGAGATAGGGGATCCTAAGAGAGAATATGAATACATAAATTAGCGAGCAAATAAAATAACCCAAGTGTCAAGAATAATCATGAGGACATGTCTCAAGATCATGACAAAGATTAACAACAAGAAGTCTCAAGGGTTAAACACGACTAAAGTCAAAGAATTAACCACAAATGAAAATCAAGACCTCAATATTTTAAATCCTAACCACAATTAAGATTAAAAAGAATTAATTTACACAAAAAATTAAATAAATAAATAAACATTTTTTTTTGAGATTTTTAATATTATCAACTAAAATAATCTAATAGTTCCTATCAACTTAAAGTCTTGAATAAAAATTAAAATTGGAAATAGTAATTAATTTGAAAATAAAATAAAAAAGAGAAAAGGATTTTTTATTTTAAAAGAAGTATCAAAAGAAGACGGGGCATATAAGAACTTAAGGTGGTGTGTACCAATTATGTTCTGAAGCCCAATAACGCTCCAAATAGGCATAACTTAAGTGGGAGATATCATCAGCTTCAACATCTTTTACAAAAGGGAAAAACAAATTGAGAAAACAAACTAGGTCGTGGAAAAGTTTTGCGAAAACACAAAAATGACTTGCTCAGAATAGCTCGTCTTCATCATCGTGCGGCCGAAAATTCAAAGAAAAGGTAAATTGGAAGGAAAAACCAAGTTAGCAACAACAACTTATCCAACCTTCTCGTGTGCAATCACTTTCACTTCTCCTTCAATACCCGCTCTGCAATCGTTCAACTTGCGTTTGGATTCAGGTTTCGCCTAACTTCGTTTTGGATTTTGTTTACTCTTTCATCTTCTCCTTCTAATTTTGGGTTTAATTCAAGTTTGATTTTGATGATTTGATGGGTGTTGGAAATTGGATTTAGGATGGTTGTGTTTTGCTGCAGTTTCGCGGAGAAGAAACAAGTTTTTGAGGTTGTTATGAGTTTCAAAGGGTGTTTTGATGGTCAGAAAATCGAATAAGAAGAGAGGTTGAGGAAGGGAATCCACAGTGGTTACATTGAAGGGAGTCTTTATGCTTCTCTGTTCTGTTTTTTCGCTGTTATGAAAGGAGAGAAAAAACCAGAACTTTTAATCTTGTTCTCGCCTTTGTACCTCTCTGTTCTTTTATTCAAAAACGAAATCCTCTCTTAAGTTTTTTGGGTACCACTGTTTTTTTGTCCTGATGTTAAGGCCATGTTGTTTTCAATTTGCAGGTGCTATGTTGATGGTTGCAGATATTTGGATGGTAGCATCACGTTTTGGTTATTGTGCACATGCTGCAGATGTTTGACTGCAATAGATCATGGTTTTGGTTTGGGTTTTAGCAGTGTTTTGTTTTCATGTTACAGGTTTTGTATTGGTACAGTGTGTAAGTTTGGCAGGTTATGTGTAGGACATATTTTTGTCTGGTATGCACAAGCTTATGCAGGATGTTGTCTTACTGTGTTTGTTTTGTTGCAGATTCATTCATGAGCTTGGTTAGGATATTGGTAGCAGCTGAGACGTGGTAATTGCAAGGCGTAAGAAGTGGTAGCATGGAGTGGCTGGCTTGTGCTTTTGGCTTTGAAGATGGGTCGTGGATTGTACTTCCGTGAGCCTGCTTTTTTCTTGTACCAATTTTTTTGTAATAAAGCGTATTAGGCTTTAGTAACTTGAGTGGATCTTTGGTTTATGAATAAAAAAAATGAATGTACATTTAAATATAATTTGGAGTATAGTTTTTTTTAGAATGGATATTGAGTATTGGAAATTTGAAATTAAATAAAATGGATTGTTATGGATGGATAATTGGATGAATAATAAACGAAAAATTGAAATGGAAAGTGGGTATTGAAAATGGAAATGGATATTGTGAATTGGATTAAGAATATGAATAAAGGAAAATAAATGTTTGGAAATGGTTTAAAGGAAAGAAATGGTTTAGGAATGGGTTTAAATTGAATTGAGAAATGTGAATATGGATTTAATAAAAATGGTCTAGAAGTGAATTTAATGGATATTGAAAATGGTTATGAAAATGGATATGGATTTTGTAATGCGTCTCCACAACACTTAAAACCTTGACATCAAAACTTGAAGGCCACAATTCGTAAAATACATCACAACCTTGAATCCAGCTTAAAGTGATCTTGATTGGATAACAAATATGATGAATCCTTACATCAATGACGAGAAACTGAACCACACAATCTATACTTACACACAACTCAACTGCTTTGACCTTTGATGGCTCTATACCTTGACCAAAACCATATCACATCCAACTGAAACAAGAATGTGCACACATACTTAGCCTGTTAGCCTCCAGAAAAACACAACATGAACGAAACTTGCAGATCATAAACACAAAGTGTGAGAAACCCTAATCTTCATGCCTTTAGTGCACACTAATGAAACAATAACTTGTTGAGAACCAAAACCCTAATTCAGAATCTTTGCCACAACCTGATAACCTGATACTGAAACAAACCACTTGTTTGACCAAAATTAAGTCAAACTTCCATTGAATTCTGCTAACACTGCCCACACACTTGACCTGATAACATTGCTTGAATCTTGATTCGTACTTGCAAGACCTAAGCCTCAAAGAACTTGTGATGAAACCAAATTGCACTGGATTATTGAGAAAGGGAGGTCTCTTAAGAGCATGAGAGCTTGATTGGCTGAGGATCTATCGAAAACCTTGATTGATCAACCCTTAAAGCTTCTTGAAGAAAACCCTAATTCACAAGTGAAACAAAACAAACAAAGAGCTAAAAAAATTGGGCCAGATATACAATATGGTTTACCTAGAATATTATGCAAAAGATCAAAGAATTTAAGGATAAATTTTGGGGTATGACACATGTGCATTTGGCATTGACCCAAGTCTTTGTTGTTGGTTGTAGCCCTTTGAACACAAGTCCAATTGGTACTGGCATCTTATTGGTAATCTTTGGTTGTCACCAATCCCTTCTCAAAGTTTAGTTGTCACTGACGTTCTTGTTTGAAATTCCAATTGTTATTGGTATTGGTAATATGATTGTCACCGGTCCTTTCTTGAAGTTCAGTTGTTTCTAACGTGCTCGTTGAAAATCCGGTTGTTATTGGTCTCTGATGTCTATGACCTTTGAGGTTTGGTTATCACCAACATCCCATTTGAAGTCTAGTAGTTACTGGCCCCGACCTATTAAAAGCTAGTTGTCACCTTTGCTTGCGGTCTAAGCCTAATTATTTTGGCATATACAGAAGAGTTTAATTACCCCGTTTTATCTTGATGCTTCTTGAAGAATTTAACACCCTTTTCTACCCCACGAATATTATGGAAAAATAATCGAATTTATCAGAGTAAAATTTTAAACACTATAAAATCACCCAAAGGGCATACATTTCTCAATAAATTCAAATCAAGGTCAATGCTTCGTAAGCAACAGGTTTTCTAAAAATTACTCAAAAGTGCTCAAATGGCAGCAGAACTCAAAAGGTAAATCCAAAGTTTTCCTCTTACCGCAAGGAAATCAACATAACAAAAACTCAATAAAATATAGTTTAACTCAAAGAACCCAAACCAATGTTACACTATTAGAGCAAGACCCTCTAAGTCAACCACAACAGCCAACGACCCAAAAACTTCAAAAGTCCTGGACGACATCCACGACTAAACCTGATCATCTGCATGTTACCCATGTGGAGGAAACATTCAAACAAGGAGGGTGAGTAAATCGATTCCTAATAATCAATATAGGAATCAACATATAAAATGGCGCCATTTTCATATTCAACATCATCGTAATCATCAAGGAACATCAAGGCCACAACATTATAAATTACATCAAAATGTCATATAAATGCAAATGCAACAAGACATATGCATGTGGTACCAATAAAAAAATTCAATGGACACTGGGCCATCAACCCTTCTTAGATCCACAACAGTAGGATTGATTTTACACGAGAACCAGAGCACAACAAAATAGCTCACATCCGCACAATGGGACTGAAGTCACAAAAATCAAGGTCCTGAACCAAAGTCCGAATGCATATGAATGCATGATGCACGCGTCAATATCATCCTCATAACAAACTCATTAGGTGCATCATCATTCACCAAAATCATCATAATAATCATGTCATCATATAATCATAAAAACTCATGGAATCAACATCATAAATCATCACAATTACTCATAAGAATCATCATACAATCATGTATTAATCACATAGGAATCACAGTCATACTCATGGTAATTCATCAAGAAAATTATAGCATCAAAGCATCAAAATAGCACTACACAAGCATACACACAAGTATTCGATAAATTATCCACCAATAATTTCACAACCGACAGCAAACAGTGCAACAATTCATTAATAGAACATATACCCAATTGACTTCCCAAACATATTAGATATAAAAATATTAGACAAAAAATTCTCTTATCTATAGTATGTTATAACCACCCTCATTAGGTTTCCAACGCTTCAAACAGAGACCAAAACGGACTTACGGATCAAACGTTACGTCCAAAACAATTTCGACCGAAAACATGAACAGTCGTGACGGACGGCATGCAGAATTTTTTGCATTTTGCATTGTTGGAAGCCTTCCGGACCTCCAATTTCGATTCCGTAAAAACCCAAACTCTCAGTAAATTACAACCCATTCAACACTGTAATTATCTCAAGTAAATTTACAATTTTAACACAATTAAACCATCTAATCATTGTTTTAAGATTATGCCTAAAACCTTTAAAACTAATGGATATAAGTTCAATCCCGTATCATATTTATGCCTCCAATTTCCATTATTTCTTACAAATACCCCACATTCATTAGATTTCTCACTATCCAATTACCCTACAGGGTTGAAACCTCAACGACAGATTTTGGCCACGAAGGCCTAATTTCCCTTATCTCAAATCAACCTCAAATCTATCAGACAATCAATTTGAATCCCTATACGGTTAAAACTTCAATAATAGATTTTTGGCCACGAAGTCCTAATTTCCTTTACTCTCAAATCAGCCTCAAATCCCTTAAACCCTTAAATCAGCTTTAAATATATTTAATCACATATTCAAAACAATAAAGGCAATACTCCCCCATACCTTAATTGCCGACTCTAAGCCTTTTCCTTTGATTCGTGGAAATGTTCTGAAGCTTTTGCCTCAATCCTCTTCCTTAGAGATTTGACCTTTATTTCTTTCCTTTTCACGGTCTAACAAGAATGAATCCTAATTCTATCAAAATTCCTTTTTGTTAAACCTAACTCTGGACCTTAAAATTGAGCTTTCCAACTTCACCCTCACTAACTCCTCCTCAAATGTCCATTTTTCCCTTAATTCACTTATATTTATTTAAATTAATAATAATACCAATATATTCATATTGTATACTATTATTTAAATAAATAACACAAAATACATAATTCTCAATATTTCATACCAACCATCGAAAATCACAAAAAATACGAATATTCATATTTAAATAAATTAAATAAATATTACAATAAATTTGGGGTGTTACAACTCTCCCCCACTTAAAAGAATATCCGCCCTCGAAAATTACCTCAAGGAAACAGAGTCGTATACGACTCTCTCATCTGATCCTCACGCTCCTAAGTCATACTTCCTCCAACTGGTCCTCCGCAAACGACCTTTACCAAGGAAATTTCTTTACCTCGCAGTTGCTTCACTTCTCGTTCATCAATCCGAACTGGCAATGCCTCAACAATCAAATTATCTCTCACTTGTACATCATCTATATGAATCACATGTGACGGATCTGGAATGTACTTCCTCAACTGAGACACATGAAACCCATCATACAAATTTGCAAGCGACGACAATAAAGCAATCTGACATGCTACTTCTCCCACGCTTCTACTGCGCCACTCTAATATGGACCAACAAAACACGATGTAAGCTTTCGAGACTTCAAAGCTCGACCAACACCAGTTACCGGTGTAACTCTCAAAAACACGTGATCTCCTTCATGGAACTCAAGTGCTTTCCTTCTCTTATCATGGTAACTCTCCTAACGACTCTGCGACGCTCTCATCTTATCTTGGATAATCTTAATCTTTTCAGTCGTCTCTTGCACAATCTCAGGTCCGAGTGCAATAATCTCGCCTGATTCATACCAACACAAAGGACTCCTATATCTCCTACCATACAATACCTCATACAATGTCATTCCAATACTAGAATGATAACTGTTGTTGTAGGTAAACTAAATCAACATCAAATGACTATCCCGCGATCCACCTTGATCCAACACACAAGCTCTTAACAAATCCTCTAAAGACTGGATAGTTCTCTCTGTTTGTCCATCCGTCTGCGGATGATAGGCAGAACTCAACCTCAGCTTAGTACCTAACACTGTCTGTAATCTCTCCCAGAACCTCGATGTAAATCTCAGATCTCTATCAGACACAATACTTGAAGGAATACCATGCAGTTTCAAAATTTCATCCATATACAAGCCTGCTTATACAATGAACAATTGATCCTCATCAGTATAAAATGAGCT